GCAGCAGCAGCAGCAGCAGCAGCAGCAGCAGGTGGAGCGAGCTTCGCGGCGAGCACTGAGAGCCACTCCCAGCCCCGGCCGGGAGCAGGCCCGCTGAGCTGGAGCCCGTGCCCGGCCCAGTCCAACCCCTAGTTTTCGGGGAACTTGGATTACTCAGGCCGGCGGGCCGGGGCCGCAGCTGGGGCCGGGCGCGCCTGGGAGCGCAAGGCAGCTACGGAAGCCGCGTCCGGGGCGCAGGACCAAGGGGACCTGGCTCTTCTCGTCTACCTAAAGACCTCTTCTCCCGGGAAAGAGCCGCTGCAGGCTCTGGGATTTGGGAGGAGCTCGGAGTCTGCCCGGGCATCTCGCTGGACTTTCTCGGTTTGCTCTCGGGAGTCGCAGGAGGGTCCCGAGCGGCGCTCTCGCCTCTCCTCTGCGGCTTAGGCGCGGAAAGCAGAGGCTTATCCCGGGGGCACGGGAACTTCTCACGCGGTCCTCCGTGGAGCCTTCGGACCCCTCGTCGTGTTGTCTCGAGAAACTCGCTGGTTGGCACTAATCTGCAGGAGTTCTCTACTGATTTGGTTTCTTCTTCGATCTGGGGACAGTTCCCGCCAACGACACTCGACGCCCCTTTCCCCGTCTTCGCCGACAAGCTGGCGTCCCAGGTCGCCGGAACCTTTGGGAATCCTGACCCTATTCGCTGACCCTCAAGGCTCTCTCGGCTGGCGTGTCTTTTCTGAGCCACTGGCCTCGAGGGAACAGTGCAGACGTGGCTCCTTTTTGCCCCCCCCCATCTGAGAGAGTGCTGTCCGCAAGGGGGACGTTGGCCTCCCAGGGGCTGCTTTGTGAGTGGTGAGACTGGGTGCTGGCGACCCCCGGCTCGCCGGCCGGCCATGGCCTTCACTTTCGCTGCTTTCTGCTACATGCTCTCCCTGGTGCTCTGCGCTGCGCTCATCTTCTTCGCCATCTGGCACGTGAGTAACCGGCAACAGCTTCTAACTCTTTTCTTTCGCCCCACATGCGTCCTTGTGCACCTCCTTCCCCAGTTTCTCTAAAATGCCGCCTCACTTTCTCCAGGTTGCGAGTGTGGGCGGTTGGGAGGCCAGCCGCGGCGAACCTGACTTTAGACCCTCTGCCTTTCCCTTGTCCCGGGCGGGAGACCGCGGCATCCTGAGGCCAGGCGCGCCTTCAGTGCCCAGGCTACTAGTTGCAGGCGGAGGGACCGCCGGTTCCTGGGGCAAGACACCTTTGCCAGGGCCTGGTCTTGCGTCCCGGGCCCCGGGGAGTGGCGTCTACAGCCCCATCCACCCACCTACTTCCTCTGCCCCTTCCTCTCCTGCACACGGTAGGCGAAGGAGAAGCGCCACCGTCGGCCCGGCAATTAGTCAAGTAACTATAACAACTAAACATTTAAAATGTCAGCGTCTGTGGTGGGCTGCATTGAGACATAATTGGAGGCAAAGTGGAAGCACGACAGGAGCGCCTTCCAAGAGGAAGTAGGGAGAGTCCAGGCCCGGGGAGCGGAGCGGAGCCGAGGGGGATGGAGGAAAACCAGGTGAAGGCGGCAGGCTGGCGAGGAGGAGAAAAGCGAGGAGGCGAGGAGACTGCCGAGAGACAGGCGTGAATGAGGCTGTGGAGGAAAATCATGCAGAGAGAGGCGGAGGAGAGCGAGTTTCCTCCTTTGCCCTCCTGGGGTCGAGCCATCCAACTCCTGGAAGACTCTCTGCAGGTGGCAAGTCTCCCTTCTGCCAGGTCCCCAGCATCCCCAGCGGGCACCAACCTGCCTGCCGCCCATGCTGGGGCTACAGCTAGTCGAGGGCAGTCGTGGTGAATCCCGATTCTGCGTGGTGTGGGGACAGGGTGCTTCTGAATAGAAGTAGGAAGAGAGGGAGCGCGCAGAACTGAGGAACGCTCGCCCTCTCCTAACGACGGTGCAACATTGGACAAGTCGGTTGAACTCTCAGGGCATCGTCCTCTGAGGTTGTTTAAGCTCCCTGCCCTCACCGTCAGAGAGCTGGGGTGGGGGGAAGAATGGCTAAGGTTAAACGTTTTGGAAGGAGCAAGGCGGTGCATAGTCTCCCGCCATTAAGATCCTTGTCCTGCCCAGCAAGTCCAGGTGGCAGAAAAGGATCCTGAGATGAATTCTTTGGAGGACGGTTCTGGTGAGCCTCAGAGAGCAGGAATGCAGTGGGCGATGACCCGGAATGAAGACCAGAAGAAAACTTTAGGGTGGGTGAGATGCAGGTGTTTTGTATAAATGGTTTCTAGAGTGAGAGAGCTTGTCTTAAAATAAAACTAAAGTAGCTGAAGCAGCTCCTGTTACAAGGCTGGGAGGAGCGGGAACCCTGAGAGGAGGAAGACTTCTAACCATATCACCTTAGGGGAGACGCTTACTGGGCTTCCTTCCACATCTCAAAAGTGAGAAATTTGACCTGGATGGTCTCCAAGCTTCCCCTTATGTCTAAGATGGTGTAAGACTGTGAATCAGTTGACTTAGGAATCTGGGGGTTAGAGAGGAGGAGTTCAGACATGAGAATTTCAGGGCTGATCAAAAATCCTGCAAGTGAGAGGTGATGGGATTTGGCACCCTCTCTTCCTCTGCCCAGGAATACAGGGTCTAACCAGTGACCAAGGAACTGAGCCTTGAAGTTGTTGACAGTGGTTAAGGGAAAAGGAAACTTTACCTAACTTAGAAGGAAAAAGGGTGCAGAACAGATTGTGCCCAAACAGTGCAGCAGACCTCTGCTAATGTGTTTTGAAAGGAGCTTTCTCTGCTTCTTGGGCTTTGGAGCGTTGTTTGCATTCTAGAGGGCTAACTACCCCTCTTTTCCAGGAACACTTCATTTGTTGTTTCTTTATGTTTCTGCCTTGGCCAGAGGGTGGCAGGTACCAGAGAACTCCATCAAACTGTCAGGCATGGAGGTCTCTAAATTAGCCCCTGAAGCAAAGCAGGTAACCAGAAAGAATAATTTTCTCTCGCTTGGGAAGGTAATACAAATAATTCAAGAGCAGGTTAATTAAATGGATGGTTTGTGCAGCTGGTTGACTGATAGACCTTTGAATCAAAACCGGGCATTGCTGTGATCCCATGTTGGCCTCTACTCTTTAGGTTTTCAACACTCACCCCCTGCAGTCAGATTCCAAGTCTGGGTCAGGTCCTGCCCTGATTCCTGACCTGATATGATTCCAGTTTCTAATGATAAAAAGAAATTTGTGCTCTTTGAATTCAGATTACAATAACAACTCCCAAGTTTCAGCCCCTTTTCCTTTCCTAGACTTTTCCTTCTCCTTTTCTCCCAAACAGCCCAAAGCCCTACCACATGGCTTTGGTTCCTGAACATTGAAAGGGGAAATCTGAGACACCTTGATTTCCATGCACACTTTGTATGTATGGGTGTCGGTTATAGGGTGGTAATTATTTCAACCAGAATTTAAGAGCGTCAGTTCTGTGATAGACATTGTATTTGCTTTCTTTTTAGCTTCTTATATTCCATATGTATTTCTTTATCTGATAAGCCATACTGATGGCTTAGCATATATTGACATCCAAAATAATGAATGGGACACTTATCAGTACATAGCAGTTAAAAGACCTACCCCACTGCCATGTCTGGGCTGTGGGATATGAAGATGGCACTTTTAAAATTTATCTATCTATCTATCTATCTATCTATCTATCTATCTATCTATCTATTTATTTATTTTAATGGAGGTACTGGGGATTGAACCTAGGACCTAGTGCGTGCTAAGTATGCACTCTTATCACAGAGCTATGTGTGTGTGTGTGTGTGTGTGTGTGTGTGTGTGTATCCCCTTGGTTTTCTTATTTAATTGTAATTACCTAATGAGGAATAATAAGAGTAGTTACTATTTATTGAATGTCTATAGTAGGCCAGTTATAGGCATTTATAGAGGACCTCTTAGATGTACCTCCAATTGTTCACCTCATCCTTCTTCCCACTGGAGGTCTGGGAGGAAGGATGGATGTGGCCGGCCAAAGCACAACATTTCTTTCAAGTCTTCTTTTTTTTTTTACTTTGAAAATTTATCTGCATTTGTTTTTGAATGAAAATATTTCAAATTGCCAATTAATTTATATCAGTCACTGTCTTTGAGTACATTTGTTGCATTTGGAAGATGCAGAATAAAATTGAGGGGTTTATTTTTTTAATGGTTTTGCATACCTTCAGGCACATGGCCCCTTACTGCCCAGGCAAGCCTCTTCATCCTCACAACTGACATTTTACAGATGAGGAAACTGGATCAGAGAGGTTATGAAACTTGCCCAAGGTTACACAGCTGATACGTAATTAGAGCTGAGATTTTAGCTGAATCTGAGACCCTTATGCCCAATGTCCTTTTTCTAACTCTAGTCACTATCTTTTTGGCTTGTTTAACTTTTATAATAGTGAATGTTTCTATCCAAAGGATTACCTTTCTTTGTGTAAGTAAAATATTTGGAGTTGGAATTTCTGATTGGAATTATAAAAAGAAGACAACACCAAACATACTATATATCCTTTTTATTTATTTGTTTTTTGGGGGGGTAATTAGGTTTACTTATTTATTTCTAAACAAGGTACTGGGGATTACCACCTCGAGCATGCTAAGCATGCACTCTACCACTGAGCTATATCCTCTCCCCATATATCCTTTTTAAAAAGAGGATATTCTATTTCATTTTTTTAAAAATAATTTTTCTGCTTGTAACATTATATAGGTTCATTGCCCCACATTTTGAAATACGACATTATAATGGAACAAAATCACTACTAACCTTATCATCCAGAAAGGATTTGGGCATCTCTTCTTCCAAATGTTGTGTATGTGTGTATTTTTAAAAATTGCATAGTTTAGATGTTTAGAAAGAAAAAAAAAGTGTTCTAAATTATTTCATATGTGAAGTGATGTCTATTTCCAGCCAATATAAAATGAACAGTGTCTACTTGCAAGAGCCCTCTCAGCTCCAGCTTGGTTGAGCCTATTTGCAGATTGTCTTGTTTATATAAACACAGATGAAACCATTCTTTGAAAAGATCAAAGATTCATACCAGTTATTTCAGGTTTTTAACTTAAAATTAAAAAAATTATATCTAATAAGTCACTTTTTAAAATTCTGAGTTTTGACAACATTCAAATAAAATTAATTCCCAGTAATATTTCTTTGGATTCCCAGCAGCATTTGCTATCAGAATTTTAATGGGCCCCCAGAGATGATAACAAATAATAGTTACTGAGGAGGCAGTTTTGCTCTGTGAAATGTCTTTATGGTTGAGCTTTTCAGCCCGTTCCTGCCAGTCACGAGGAACCGAGTAAACTTTTTAGTTTCTCAAATTATTCATCTGGAAACAAAAAATGGGTTTATGTGAAACAGTAGGATGCCTGGGGTTAACAATAACAAGTCCTTTAGGGAACCTACTTTGGCCTCTTCACATGTGGGTTCAGAGGCCTTAGCCATGCCTCACCGGGTCTCCACTTTTTGTTCTGTTTGAGACACCCCCATCTCCTCCCATATCTCACTTTTAGATGTGATGTTTTCACCTCCAGCACCCCCTCTCCCCATCCCCCTACCTCCTTCCCCACTGCCTCATAGTTAGCATGGGAGGAAGCTGCCCGAGACCCTTTCTGCTTACCGTGGTTTCTCTGGAGCCTGGAACAGTGCCTGCCATGTAGAAGGGGCTCAGTCAGTCCCCGTAGAACTTAATGCTGAGGCTGGCAAATACTTTGAATTTGGCATAGAACAAGAGGCAAACATGCGATGTTCTTACATATGCTACAATACAGCCAAAATATAAAACACTAAAAAAGCTCTCTACACCAAGATTAAGCTGATAGACTGTAATGGAGCCACCGACATTTCTGTGTGCCCCGTGTCATAGGGATTAAAAGACTTCGAAATTTTAGTTGGGACCATCCCTGATGCAGGGCGTGAAGTTTGAAGATTAAGGATGGGATCTCGCGAGATCTCATGGGA